TGAGCATCAAACTAGAAAATCAATCTATCGATCTAACGTCCATGAACCTTGAATCAGAAGAATATGAACTCAAAAATGTGTTAAAATAATTGTCTTTATAATTTTTGCACTGGAGAAAATTAAAATATATAAACTAATATTCATAAACTTAATATCACAGAATCAAGTAAGTATGTATTGTACGTACGTATATATATGTACAGTACGTTGGCTTTATTATAAAGTTTGTCAATTTTGAAAAAATAAAATAATATATGGGCGAAAATGATAATAATATAGTAAAATAACAGATACAGATATACATTAAAATGATAAAAATATATAGAAGAAAAAGAAAATATAAACAATAACAAAATTTTATAGGGTTACAATAGATCCTTTAAACTATGGTTGATGATTTAACTAAACAACAATAACCAGGTTTAGCTATTTGATTTGAACCAAAACTACAAACTAGCAGTTAATTAATATTCTGTGATTTAATAATTGAATTGTGAATATTAATTAGGACTATAAACAACCATCTGAGCATCGAAGAATTCCTCCATTTGTTGCAAGAGGTCCAAGTGGTGTTACGGGGTTATTACAAGCATCATCATGCCCAAAATTAATACATCTATCTTCAGCAAGGAGCCATTGCGCACAATTAGAATCATTAAAACAAGATTCACAACATTTTTGTGCATCTCCACCGGCACTAGGAACAGAAGTACCATGAACAGCTGAATGTAGTGTGATAGGAGCACGAGATTGAAATGCAGGATTACCAGGTTGGCAACAAGGAATAATAGTTGATGTGGGAATTGGTGTGAAAGTAGTAGGTGTTGAACACTTATGCTTTATATTTTTTTATGCTTTATATTCTTTTTATGATTTGCACTGGTATTCCATATCATAAGATAAAGAAAAAAATAAAAAATAATAAGTTTGAAACAGTGCATTGTGCTTAGAAAAAGTTTAGAAGAGAAAAAGAGTGTAAAAGAAAAATTGCGAATTAAAAAAGGTGAAAAAAGAGGAAGAAACGATTAAAAGATGAAGGAATATACATTGATTATATATGAATTCTAATATGCAAAACATCAACACGTTAAATGATTATTTGCGCTAATATGTAATGTACAGTACATGTATGCCTATCAACACTATCAACAGGAGGAAAATCAATATTATCGCACCGTTTTTTAATTTCCTTATTTGGGAGATCTATATTGACAAAATCGTAAATTTCCAAAAAGCGAAAATACAAGAAACTAGTGTTTAAACTTGGAGCACTAATAAAAAATATCGGGGAGTAATTTTACCTAGAATACTCATCCAATCCTTAACCCTAATTCTAATCATAGACCTAGTTTTAGTTTCTTTGTTTTAAATATACTTTCAAATAAGAAACTCGAAAAATGGTGTAGTAATATCAGTCCAGGAGGAACCGTTGATGTTTTTAACCAGTGATGGATTATATCTTTAACGTGGACAATATTGTTTTTTGAACTAAACACACCGGGTGTTGGATTAGATATGTGGTTTCTCCTGTTATGTTTATCCCGTAAATAACAATTTTCTTTTACCTAACAATTTTCGTCTATGCGATTTATAGCCACTCCTAAGATCATGTGTAACGTGAAATCAAAACAATAAATAATAATGCGTTAGGGTTTGGTCGATCAGGTATAGCAATAAATTGCAATATTCCAATAAATAAATAAATAAATAAGCAATTTCTATTTATACATGGGGTGTTTATACATGAGTATATAGAAAGACACGTTCAAGTGTAACGCCAAATTATTGCTTTAAAGAATCATTTATAGATTACAATTTCGTTTCTAAAACCACCTCTTGGGTTTTAATCAAAAAACTTCCTTGCGAAATTTTGGTATAAAGTTATTCCCTGCCTCTATCCTTTACCCTGACCTTAGGCATCGCTTAATTTTTCGTTTTTTTTTGATTTGCACGTTACACGGATTTATAATTAATACTCGTGTACTATACATTACATGTACATTTAGTAATTTTAGTAATTTTCATAAATAAATGTACAGACAAACCCCTCTATAGTCACACCTTCGGGATACAGAAAACTGTGATTATAAAAAGGTGTGACTAATATAGAGGTGACCTCTATATA